CAACAATTTGCTAAACCTTGGCCACAATATCTGGACTTGTCTTCATATAAATCAATGCATAGATTTCTGTTTATATGATTGTGGTTATGGTTGTACTTTATGAATCCCTAATCTCTGTCATTACATACAATGAAACAAGAAATGGTAAAGAAGAAAAACAGACATGTAATACAATACAATATTAGACATTATTGTAATAAATAAATAAAAAGCCCATCCCATGTGTTAGTGAATTTTTAAATATTTTAGGCAGGAAATTCGTTTTCAAATTTAGATTTTTTTTCTGGGGGGGGGGGGGGGGACCCCCCAGACCCCCCAGACCCCCTGGAAGATTTGGTCCCCTCATTGTTGACTCCATGGCTCCGGCCTTGAGTAGCAGGGTGGTGAAGTGGTGGCGACTAAAACATGACAACTACAGGCAAGCGTAAGGCCTCAGGGGAGCGTGAATGTAACGTGGGAACAATAGCGAGTGGAATACTGAGAGCAGCAGGTGGTAGTGAGCTGATTAGTATGTTGTATGTTGAACTTTTTCGCACTGTACGTAACTGACCGTGCTAATCGGAGGTGCGGGGGAAGGACAACAAACTGACCACGAAGAGCAGTTCTAAAAGAAATTAGTTTTCAATCTAGATTTGAAAATGCATTGCTCCAGTGGCTTCCTAATATCGGAAGTAAGAAGGTTCCAGATGGCCACAAAAGCACATCTAAAAGCATGCGATGCAGTGACCGTTTTTTTTTGATGATTAGCCAAAGTCGCTGCGAGGATGACCGCAGTTACCGTGATGGTTTATACTCCTTGACGAGATCAGCAAAGTTACTGAGAGCAGCAGGTGGTAGTGAGCTAAGGACAAAGACGGAGTACATGGTGGCAAATTTCAGTGGAAATAATTCAGGAGGATTGCAAATTGCAAGTGACCAGTGAATGAAGACGAACGAGTTTAAGCACCTGGGTGCAACGATATGTAACTGATGGAACACTAGAAGGAGAGATGAGAACAAGAAGAAGGCCTGGATGGCTGAAATAGTGAGAGATGACTGGTGTGGTGTGCGATTAGAGGGTCCCAGTTTGGTTAAAGGAAAAGGTGTGTAGTGTATAGTGTAGTGTATAGTGCAAGACGGTGGTGAGGCCGGTGCTGTTGTATGGGGCCGAGTGCTGGGAACAAGAAAGAGGGAGGGACTAAGCTATGGCAGTCACAGAGATGAGGATGTCGCGGTGGATGTTGGCTCTAACAAGGAAGGACACAGTGAAAAATGAAGTGAGAGGAAGACTCAAGGTGGTAGAAATCACAGAGAAGATGACAGAGAAAAGGCTGGTGTGGTTCGGTCATGTTGAGAGACTACAGGAAAATTATGTGGGGTCCGTTTGGCCCCCTCTATCCGGCCGAACAACAGCTGCTTGATCAGGCGATGGCTGGGCATGTGGGCTACATGACCCAGCCAACGCAGCCTTGCCTACTGGAGGAGCTCACCGATGGGACTTTGTCCAGACCTTTCGAGGATTTGTGAGCTCACACAATCCAGTCTGGTGAAACCCAGGATGGATCGTAGGCAGACCGGCCTGAATGTTTCTGAGCGGCTAAGATCTTCCATTGGGGGGTCCATCACACACACCTGACTCGTGACCCACACGTGACATCAGCACACACACTGCCTCGTCACCCACACGTGACATCAGCACACACATCACACATGCACACCTGTCTCGCCACTCACACGTGACATCACACATGCACACCTGCCTCGCGACCCACACGTGACCTCAGCACACACACACACCTGCCTCGTCACCCACACGTGACATCAACACACACACAGTCATCCACACGTGACATCACACACATCTGCCTCGTCACCCACACCTGACATCAGCACACACACACCTGCCTCGTCACCCACACTGCACATCAGCATTTCCCCAGGCTCAAGGTGAGTTTTCTTAGAGTGGCGCTGCAGCCTCCATCCTTCTGTATCGATGCTGTCGAATCTGGCCCTGGCGGAGGAGGATGGAGGATCACGGTGACTCACCCTGCAAGCTCCGCTTCTGCCACATGTTGCCTGCTCCAGTCGCTCTGTGTCTCCACCACAACCTCTCCCCGCCTCCTCTTCCACCAAGACAACCTCCATCTCCTCCCACCCCGCCTCCTGCTCCTCCTCCGCCGACAACTCCCTTGCCTCCTCCGACACCCCACACAGTCTCACTGCCATCCTCCAGCCACACAGGTCCTCTCCATCCCCACCCGCTCAGCATCCCCCTGCCTCATCCACTCGCAGTTGCGTTGCCTCCTCCGTGGCACGCAAACTCGGGCTACTCCAACATCCACACGGATTCTCCCAAACTCCTCCACCCCACACACCCCTGGCTCCACTCGCACAGCCTCAAGCCCTGCACCCACACAGTCTCTCCTGCTGCACCCACACAGCATCTCCTGCTGCACCCACACAGTCTCTCCTGCTGCACCCACACAGCCTCAACTCCTGCACCCACAGCCTCAACTCCTGCACCCACACAGCCTCAAGTCCTGCACCCACACAGCCTCAACTCCTGCACCCACACAGTATCTCCTGCTGCACCCACACAGCGTCTCCTGTTGCACCCACACAGCCTCAACTCCTGCACCCACACAGCCTCAACTCCTGCACCCACACAGCGTCTCCTGCTGCACCCACACAGCGTCTCCTCCTGCACCCACACAGCGTCTCCTGCTGCACCCACACCCAATTGACTCGGTAACCGCAGAGCGTGAGGTCGGGGTCTCCAACCATAGTCCCCGAGGCAAGATCATGGAGAACAAACGGGTAGGTGGTGGTGGTGGTGTGATGGGTCTTACTCATCACCATGATGAGAGGGCATTTCATGATTCGGTTCTCAGTTCAGGAGAAAGAGAGGCCCAGATTGTTTTTTGGTCGCTACGATTTGGGGGCGCCGCGGTGGCTAGGAGATGTCAACTACCTCGCCTGGTATGCAGGAGGACGTGGGTTCGATCCCGACCTCTGACGCCTGCTGCTGTATATTTGGAGTTTGCGTCTTTCTCTCTCTCCCCGTGGTCGCGTGGATTTTTCCCCCGGGTTCTCCGGTTTGGCCCTCCACATTTAGGATGAGCGTCACGCGATTAGATTATTTGGCTGCTATAAATGTCCACACGATCATAAGCCACTTCCTTGAGCTATCATTTGTGCTGAAAATGATTATGCTGCTGCTGATGGTGATGCTGCTGCTCATGCTGCTTATGCGGATGATGATGGTGCTGCTCATGTCGATGATGCTCCTGCTCATGCCGATGGTGCTGCTGCTGCTGCTCATGCCGATGATGCCTATGGTGCTCATGCCGATGATGCTGCTGCTGCTCATGCCGATGATGCCTATGGTGCTCATGCCGATGATGATGCTGCTGCTCATGCCGATGGTGCTGCTGCTGCTCATGCCGATGATGATGGTGCTGCCCATGCCGATGATGATGGTGCTGCTCATGCCGATGGCTGCTGCTTCTCATGCGGATGATGATGATGATGATGCTACTCATGCCGATGATGCCTATGGTGCTCATGCCGATGATGCTGCTGCTGCCCATGCCGATGATGCTGCTGCTGCTGCTTGCGCCACCGACCCCCGTGTCGTCGCCGGAGCAGCACGCGCGCAGCTGGCGCAACATCGTGAGCAGGAAGGTTCGCTTCCCCATCGCCCTGCAAGCGGCCATCCGCGACGGGAACGTGGCGCGCGTCTACGACATCCTGGGGGCCGCCGAGAGCGGAGGGGGGGTCGCGGCGGAGCGGGGGGCCACCGAACCCGCGGCAGGCGGACGAGCAGGAGGACCGCTCGTGGAGGGAGGCGCTGAACCTGGCGATCCGCATGGGCAGCGACGAGGTGCTGGGCGCTCTGCTGCGCTGCGTGCGCTTCGACTTCCGGCAGATCCACGAGGCCCTCCTCGTCGCCGTGGACACCAACCAGCAGCAGGTGACCCGGCGATGTTGGCCGGTCGGTCGGTCGGTCAGTCCACGAGTCGGTCGGTCGGTTTGTGAGTCAGTCAGTCACGTTTTCTTGGTTCTTTCGGTAAAGTCACGTAGAATGGAAATAATAAAATAATACAAATAAAACATTATAAAATAATTCTCAGTAGCCGTCCTCAGGTGGAGAACAGGTCTGTCGAGAAGACAGAGTTTGTCTTAGACCTGTTCTCCACCTGAGGACGGCTTGAGTTGTGGCCGAAACGTCGTGAGAAGTTATTTGATTATGTTTTATTTTTATTATTTTATTATTTCCATTCTACGTGACTTTACCGAAAGAACCAAGAAAATGAATCCCTGCAGTCACGAAAGCTTTAAATCGAAAAGTCAGTCACGTTCGTACGTCACTCTGTTGGCCAATGTGTCACTCTTGTCTCTCTCCGTCGGTCAATTGTGTGTGTGCGTACGTTGAAACTCCTTCGCACCGCACGTAGCCAACCGCGGTAAATGGTCGGTCGGTCTGTTCGTAAGTCGCTGCCGGTTGGTCACTTTGTCACGTAGTCCGCCAGTGTTCTTGTGAGTAAATCAGTCCTAGATTTGAAGCTTTCGTGACTGCAAGGATTCATCCTCTTAGTTTTTTTCTGATACAGCTATCGTGCTGTGACGGTTCCACCTGAAGACGGAAGCTTGTGTTGCCTCCGAAACGTCGTGATTTTTATTTTACTTTTATTAATTTTTATTTTTTTATTTTTTACCTACGTGACTTTACCAAAAAACCTAAGAGTACTAAATCAGTCGGTCGATCGGTCGGCCGGCCTGTCTATCTGCTCGATCGTCCGGACTCATCCTTTTGCCCGCCGCGTGTCCAAGGTCGTGACCCTGCTGCTCGACCGCCTGGACAACGACAAGGCGCTGGGCCACAACAAGATGGACATCCGCTCCTTCTCGCTCGCCATCTTCGACCACTCGATGGACAGCTCGCGCTACCCGCCCGGCGTCACGCCGCTCACGCTCGCCTCGCAGGACAACCTCTTCGACATCGTCGAGGTGCTGCTCAAGAAGGGGCACGCCATCCAGCGCCCGCACAACATCTCCTGCAGCTGCCTCGAGTGCCAGAACGGGCGGCAGTACGACACGCTCAAGTTCTCGCTGTCGCGCATCAACACGTACCGCGGCCTCGCCGGGCGGCCGTACCTGTGCCTCGCGAGCGGCGACGCCATCCTCGGCGCCTTCGAGTTGAGCCGCGAGCTCCGCGGCTCGCCAGGCAGGAGCCCGAGTTCAAGGTTAGCAAGGACGGAGCGGGCATCGTGCGCGTGTGTGCGTTGAACTTCTTTCGCGCCACCGCGCGTAGCCGACTGCGCGTAGCCGACCGTGCTAATCATCGGCGGTGCGGTGTAGTGTATAGTAGTGTATAGTGTAGTGTATAATGTAGTGGGTAGTTTAGTATGTAGTGTATAATGTAGTACAATTGTACATATGTGTGTACGTTGAACTTCTTTCTCGCCACCGCGCGTAGCCGACTGCGCTAATCAGAGGTGCGGTGTAGTGTATAGTAGTGTATAGTGTAGTGTATAGTGTAGTGTATAGTAGTGTATAGTGTAGTGTATAGTAGTGTATAGTAGTGTATAGTGTAGTGTATAGTAGTGTATAGTAGTGTATAGTAGTGTATAGTGTAGTGTATAGTAGTATAGTGTAGTGTATAGTAGTGTATAGTGTAGTGTATAGTAGTGTATAGTGTAGTGTATAGTAGTGTATAGTGTAGTGTAAAGTAGTGTATAGTGTAGTGTATAGTAGTGTATAGTGTAGTGTATAGTAGTGTATAGTGTAGTGTAGTAGTGTATTGTAGTGTATAGTCGTGTATAGTGTAGTGTGTAATCTAGTGTGTAGTTTAGTATGTAGTGTATAGTGTAGTACGTATTATGTTGAACTTCTTTCACACCGTACGTATCCAAGCATGCTAATTGGAGGTGTGGGACTAGGGTAATGTTTGACGTTCGTGGTGTGTGGGGGGGGGGGGATGGTGGGGGCGGAATTCCTTCATCCAGCAGTGGATGGTTCATGGCGATTGCTGGTGGGGCGTGCGCGCGCAGGCGGAGTACATGGAGCTGGACCGGCAGTGCGAGGAGTTCGCCGTGGAGCTGCTCGCCATGTGTCAGAACCAGCGCGAGGTGGACTCGCTGCTCAACGACGCGCCCCCGCACGGCGACGAGGAGTTGGCGCACGGCGCCTTCGAGGAGGGCATCCCCAGCCTGGGCCGCCTGCGCCTCGCCGTGTCGCACCAACAGAAGCTGGTACCGTCACGCTTCGGGGGGGAGGTGCCGAGCGCCGTTCGTCCGGCGGCGTCGCGCCGGTCTTCGGTCGGCACGGGTGGCCGGCGCCGCGCCCGACCGTGCCGATGTTTGCACATCGCAACGGACGCTCGTTTGAGGCTGAGTCGACCTCGAGGAGGACCGACGCGGATAGCCGTCGCTGGAGGTTGGTGGGCGTGAGCGGGAATCGAACTCGGGTCGCCTGGCTCGGTGGCGCAGCGCGCTGACCGCCGTGCCATCGATGCCGCTGCGCGAAGCGACCGCGATTGCCCTGCTGCATCGCCCTCCGATGCGTTTCTCGGGTTGTGCCGCCGTGTGTTGTTCGGTACGATGACTGACGTTTCACTCCACGTGCTGCGAGCTTCTTCAAGGACCTAACCGAGTGGCTCACGTTCTTGCTCGCGTACTTGTGTGTGTGTGTGGTGCTGGCCACCCACCCCCTCGTGTGCCATGCCGGCCTTCACAGGTGCTTGCTAACAGCACTTGCCCCAACAGTCTGTAAATCTATACGGGAGGATCGTTGCCTTAGTGTGTGTGTGTGCCCGCATGCGTTTGTGTGTGTGTGTGCGTGCGTGTGTGTGCGTGTACCCGTGTGTGTGCCCGTGTGTGTGTGTCCGCGTGCGTGCGTGTGTGCGTGTGCCCGTGTGTGTGTGTCCGCATGCGTTTGTGTGTGTGCGTGTGCCCGTGTGTGTGTGTGTCCGCGTGTGTGCGTGTGCCCGTGTGTGCGTGCGTGCGCGCGTCCAGTTCGTGTCGCACCCGGTGTGCCAGCAGGTCCTCACCTCCATCTGGTGCTCGGGCATGCCCAGCTGGAGGGGCAGCCACGCCGCAGTCAAGGCGGGCACCTGCCTGGGCATCTTCCTGGGCATGCCGCTGCTCGCCATCATCTACTGGATCGCGCCCAAGTCCAGGGTGAGACGACGGGCGCGCGTCCCTCGTGCACGGTCGCGAAATGAACTCACGGGCCAAACGTGGCCTGCGGGTCCGTCAGATTCCGCGCCCCTGCGCTGTGAGCCCCGGCTCACGAGGTGGTTAAGAGACGGGCGGTAAAGCAAAGACTTCTTGAATCACTGCGCGCGGCGCTTTGAGCGTTACCCCCCCCCCATGTATGCCGGGGATTTTTCTCCACGGATCTCCCCATTGTCTTCCCACGATGCCAACCACTCAACGGAGGAACTTGCGCATCATCCCAATGCAGGGCCCTGCTGAACAGGAGTCCTGAGACTGAGTGAGTCCTTGCTGGATAGTGGGCAATATTAATGTGATTATTATCTATTGGAATGGCCCATGCTGATGCAGCAGTGCCGGATTAAGTTAGTGCGGGGCCTGTAGCGTATGTTATGAAGGGGCCCTAAATAAATAAATATAACACATGAATATTAAAACACGAAATTATAACTTGCATGGTAAAGTAATTGTATTTTTTTCATTTGATATACAACCAGATATCACGACAAATCGCTAACCTTAAACACCCGGTCGTTCATAAAAGTCGAAGGCAGTATAGCGCTATAGTAATAGAGCAAGTGCAGAATCACTGAAGCGGAATTGATAGCTTGAAAGCATTTAGCGCGGGGCCCTTGAAAGTGCGGGGTGTAGCATATGTAGCTACTTGTGCTACTGGGATAATCCGGCACTGCGGTGCAGTTGTCTGCACGGGGTGTCCCGCGTGCCACCTGAGCGTTCGCTTCCTCGCAGCAGCGGCAACTTTTGGCGAACCATCAAACAATGACGGTGGTCACCGCATCGCGCGGCGCTTTCAGACGCGCTTCCGCGGCCGTCTGGAACGCTCTCCCTTCCGATATTAGGAAGCCACCGGAGCTACGCACTTGTAAACCATCATCGCATTTCTTCAGAACTGCCTATTTCTGTTTAGTTCGTTGTCCTTCCCCCGCACCTCCTGTGTTCACGGTTGGCTACGTACGGCGCGAAAGAAGTTCAACGCAGGTACCCGCGCGTACGTCTCGCGTGATCTGCGCGCGTGCAGTTGGGGAACCTGCTGCGCACGCCGCTGCTCAAGTTTCTCATGCACTCGGCCTCCTACCTCTGGTTCCTCTTCTTCCTGCTCGTCGAGTCCATCATGATGGACAGCTCCAGCGACATCGTGTCCACACGCAACCAGCTCTCATGGACAGCTCCTTCCACATGGTCTGGGTGGCAGGTGCCGCTGCTGCTGCTGCCGCTGCCGCGACCCGCGCGCTCGTCGCTACGTCGCAGGGGGTCTCACGGTTAACAGTCCGGGCCGGCTACCCCACCCCCCCACGTACCCCTCCCCACCTACTCCCCCCCACCTACCTCCCCCCCACATACCCCCCCACCTACCCCCCCCCCTACTCCCCCCCCACCTACCTCCCTCCCACCTATCCCCCCACCTACCCCCCCACCTACCCCCCCCACCTACCCCCCCACCTACCCCCCCCACCTACCACTCCACCTACCCCCCCACCTACCCCCCCACCTACCACCCCCACCTACCCCCCCACCTACCCCCCCACCTCCCCCCCCCACCTACCACCCCACCTACCACACCACCTACCACACCACCTACCTCCCCCACCCCCCCCCCCCCCCCTACCCCCCACCTACCCCCCCACCTCCTCCCTCACTTACCCCCCACTACTCCCCCCCCACCTACCCCCCACCTACCTCCCCCACCTACCCCCCCCCACCTACCTCCCCCACCTACCCCCCCATCTACTCCCCCACCTACCTCCCCCCCTACCCCCCCCCCCCCCCCCACCTGCCCCCCCACCTACGCCCCCCCCCCCTCCCCAGTTCAGGCCGCTGCCGTGCGTATTGACCGCGACAAAAAATACCGCGCGTGCCGTTTGCTTTGCCGCGGACGTCAGGTAGATCCCGTGACATTCGTAAAAGTAGCCCCCCCCCCCGTTGAGTCCCGCATCGCGGTTTGAAAGAACCAAAGAATATGAGCTCTAGGAGTGTGCGTGCGTGTGCGTGTGCAGGCTTCCTGTGGTACGAGTGCAAGGAGGTGTGGATCGAGGGCCTGCGCGTGTACCTGTCGGACTGGTGGAACTGTCTGGACCTGGCCATGATCAGCATGTACATCTCCTCCTTCACGCTGCGCCTGCTCGTGCGCTGGAGCGGGGAGCTGGCGTGCGGCCGGGACCCGCTCTCGGCCGAGTGCGCGTACTTCACCACGGCCGGTGAGCATATTTCACCACGGCTGGTGAATGTATTTCACCACAGCCGGTGAGCATATTTCACCACGGTCGGTGAGTGTACTTCTTCACCACGGCCGGTGAACGTATTTCACCACGGCCGGTGAATGTATTTCACCACAGCCAGTGAGCGTACTTCTTCACCACAGCTGGTGAGCGTACTTCACCACGGCCGGTGAGCATACTTCTTCACCACGGCCGATGAGCATATTTCACCACGGCCAGTGAGGAGGATGTGTGGGGTCCGTGGAGTAACACGACATGCGGAACGCGACGGCGCGTGGTGAATGCGTTGCCACTCGTCAATCACCCCCACCACCTAAACCGCCCCGCCCCCCCTCCCCCCACTGGCGGTGCCCAGAGCGCGGGCAGTGGCAAAAAGACGACCCCCAGATCATCGCCGAGGTGGTGTTCGCCATCACGAGCGCGCTCAGCTTCACGCGCCTCGCCTTCATCCTCCCCGCGCACGAGTCGCTCGGCACGCTGCAGATCTCCATCGGCAAGATCCTCGGGGATATCTTCCGGTGAGCGCGACCTCGGCACCACGCGGCCAAGCCTCGCCTTTCCGACACCGAGCTCCACCGTGGAGGGTCCCCTGACCCCTACCGTGGGTGACCCCTGACCCCTACCGTGGGGTGACCGTGACCTTTCTGGCACTGACTTCCCCGCCAAGGGGGTGATCCTTACCTACACAATGGAGGGTCTCTTTTTTTGAAGACAATCAGATAAAAATGTGGCTATTATTATTATTGTGCTGCACCGGGAAATATCCATACCGTGATACTGAGCGATCGCGACCTATACAGCGACGATTTCCTCTCTCCGGGTGACTACGACCTTCACGAACCTCGACTCTAGAAGCCAACTTCTGCCACAGCGACCCCATGACCTTTGCGATTCCGACCTCTACCGCTGCGCATGCACCGTGACCTATGCCCCAGACATTCCAGAGTTTGACCCCCGACTGTAAGTGACCCGACCTTTCATTTTCCAGCGACCCATGTCAGTCGGTCGCGACGGGAGCCGTCGATCACTCGTGCATCGAGAGCCGTCGCGCCTGGAGCCGTGCCCGTGCCACCCCACCCACCAGCCCGCCGCGTGTGCAGGTTCATGTTCCTGGTGATGATCATCGGCACGGCGTTCCTGTGCGGCATCAACAACCTCTACGTGCACTACACGTTCAACAAGTTGGGCCGGTGAGCGTCGCGACGCCGCGGCCACTCGGGAGCTCGCCTGCACGACGGATCGTCCACCACAGCCCAGCGCATTCATTCATGCAGCATCGTCATCGGCGTCGTCATCATCATCAACATCATCGGCGTCATCGCGAACGCACTCAGTCTTAATTGTTATTTGTTCATCTATTCACGTTAATTGCGCTGGAGATCAGAATCAGAATATTTATTTATACTTTGAGTAATCCGATGAGCTATGAAGCTCTTTGTTACAGGTGTCCAGTAAGGGGCACGGGTCACAGCGTTACAACAACATACAATACGAAAACACAATAGGAGTGTAAAGTGTAAAAAAGATAAGTAAATCGCTATAAATATCTCTCAAGCTATTAGCTTCTTATTCATAAGCGACCTGGCCACAAATGATAGCTCAACGAAGTGGCCTCATCACATGGTAATTTATAGCAGCCGAATAC